AGGGAGACATGGAGCGGCTTTTCTCAGCAGACACCTCAGCTTGAGAATGAAGGACTGAGGGAAGTGAGGTGTGGAAGAATAAGACTGAGCTCTGGAGAAATGTTTGGCTAGAGTTTCCCCTACAATATGTACCAGTTCCGACTTACATACAAATTCAACTTAAGAACAAACCTACAGTCCCTATCTTGTACGTAACCCGGGGACTGCCTGTATATATCAAATTGTGGCTCTTTCCACCTAGCCAATTTATTATGCTTGCAGCTGTAGTTTTGTTTTGATAATAAAAGTTTGGGCTTTTTTAAATTCTAATTAACTGGTATTGGTTGATTATTGTGTCCTTAGGACTAAGTGCCTAGTTACAAGAGCGGAGTCCATTGTTGTCTGTGCATTCCCTGTTTTTCCCAACTCGAAGCAAAATGGAGGTTGGGGCAGGAGGGAGAGCTTTACCTTAGGGAGGGGATTCCCAAGTGATCTCTTCCCTGATTTTCTTGAAATCACTTGGGTGGTGGCTGTGAAGAACCAGTCTTTTTTTTTCTTTTTGGATCTCAGGTGGACTGAGATTGAATAAGTTTGTCTCGGGGAATCACAGAGACAGGTTTAGCAGAGGTTATTCTGCTAGCCGGCCCCCCAGCACTGCACACATAGCGTCAGGTTGGGGGATTGAGCTGTGACAAATGTGCTCCAAGGCTAGAAATAATATTTAACGCTTGTGTAGCATTTTATATCTTCAAAATGTCATCTGGTCATTAACTGGAAAAAAAGAGGCAGATAAGAGTAGTATGCACTGATATTGTTTGTTCCTGCTAGCCCAGTCCCCAGAATTGTATTACTGGGAATAAGACACCTACTGCTCTCTGGTATAATATTCAGTTACCACAGTAATGGTCATGTAATAGCACATAATTGGCTGTGTTCTGTATATTGAGTATGATCAAGGAATGCTTTCAGCTACTGCTCCCTTGACTCTTAGGATCAAATTTGTCACTAGTATAAGCAGACCCAGATCCAGAGACTACAGTGGAATTTGCCGTCTTGTGGTAACAGGAACTTTGGCTCTCATGATCAAAATATGATACATTTTTCAGTTTAACATAGAATTAAATGTGAATCTCTCATTGCACCTTTTGCACTGCTCTAAAAGTGGCTCCATATATCCTTGATGTGTAAGCCCCAGGGCTGATCTAACTTAAGACAGTGCTGTGTAGGCAGTGTATTTTTGCTAGTTTCCTTTACAATTATTAGAGGATACTAGGGGGCTGCACTTGCTGCTTACTATGCTTGCCGACCCCCCTCTCTCTGGTGGCTTTCGCAGACGGAGAGTGTGAGAGAGTGATGATGTCATTCTGTTACCCAGCAGGAAAAGTTTTTTTTATATATAGAGAGAGATAATGTGTTCATTATTTCTGGTGTCATAGGAATGTGAAAATCAAAATCAAAGGACTTGTTTGAAAAGAGGAAATCAACCCCCTAATTTCTCAAATTGACTTTTTCCTTATTCTGTATCCTCAACTTATGTATTTCTTTGACATTTGTCACTTAGTATTTCAGACCAGAGAATTGCATCCATCTCTATGAACTGCACTGGTGACTGGATTGCTTTTGGATGTTCAGGTTTGTAGATCAAGGGACTTCTTTCTAAGGAAATATGTTGTAGGCCTGCAGGTGTGAAATCTTCTTGGTCCTGCCTGATTGCCACATTTTAAAGTTTTATTTATTTTATAGGCCCAACCCCATATCAGAGTACATTGCATACATGAATGTTTTTGTCCTTATAAAATGTGTCTGTAGGAGAATATTATTTCACAGATGAAAAAAAATGAAATACATAGATTTAGTGGTTTGCCTGAAGTCTGTGGCAGATCTTAGAATGGAATCTAAATCTCTTGATTCCCAGTTTAGTACCTGACTCATGAGACCATCTTCCTTCCAAAGGGAGGAGACCATAGCACCAGCCTGCGCATAGGTTGTACTGTTATAGAATACCTTCATTCTGGGTTTCCTCTCTTCCTGCATGTGTCTGCCTCCACAGATACAAATGTCATCATTCCTATAAGTGATGGATGACTGTACCAGTTAACCTCCTCCAATCCTGAACTGCAAATCTAGTCCATAGTCAGTCACATGCAAGCTAAACCCCTCTAAATGTATGTATCTGCGTTAATACCCTTTTCCATGTAACAGGAACAGCAGATTGGCTGCTTTTGATGAATATTAGTTCTTCTGTGGTTTATTCATGTTGATATACAGCTTTGATTCACTTAAAAAGGCAAGATTAAAAAAAGTCATGTGAAAAAACAATTTTTAAGCTTGTACATGTTTCATTTTTATTTTATTTTTTCTCTTTCTAGTGACTTTTAAAAATGTTTTTCCTCTTTTTTTGGCTGCTCATCAGTACACATATGTCTTGTGCCAATGACAGCTGTAGTATTGGCTTGGCCAAGAAATAAAATTGCCAAATCCTAACTGCGGGTGTTTAGAAAGTCTGTTGCCTTCATTTTGAAATTGCATTGTGCATCCTTTTAGGGTGAATGTACAGTGTGTTTATAGGCACGTGATTTTTTATAAATTGGAAGGATATTGTATGCAAGTATTATATAATATCTCCCATCACTGAATCAAAATTACTTATCTTTCTTCCATTGTATTTACAGGTCTTGGTCAGCTGCTGGTGTGGGAATGGCAAAGTGAGTCTTATGTGCTGAAGCAGCAGGGCCATTTCAACAGTATGGTCTCATTGGCATATTCTCCAGATGGGCAATACTTAGTTACTGGAGGAGATGATGGGAAAGTAAGTCAATCACAGTTATTAAAAACTCTTGGATCACAAAAGTATAGTAAACAGTGCAAATCTGAATACACCGTAGAGCCATGGTCATTCGATCATCATTGACTGGTCGATCGCGAGACCTCGACCAGTCAATCGTGAGGCGTCCTGTCTGCCCCGCGCTCATTTCCTTCCCACCCCTGGGAAGCCCCACTACTTACCTCAAGTGAAAAAGGAAGTAGTGTCAGTTTCCCGGAGATGGACAGCAGTCCCTCAACTTAGCGCCACTTCCGGCGATTCTGGAAGTGCGCTAGCTGCTCTGCCGGGTGTACTGCGGGAGGGAGCATCGGCTCCCTGCACCGCACAGGAGGGGTGAGTCAGCCCCGGGGGAGGCACGCAGGGGATTTCCCTGTGCCGGGGGGGTTGGCCCTGGGGCAGGCGCGTGTGGGGCTTCCCTGCATGGGGGGGGCTGGGC